ATAATGTGGTCAGAAATGGTGTACAGGATTAATAAGAAGTGGAAGTGTTGCAAATAATGCAATTTTTGGTTCACAATTTTGATTTTTTTACAGACAGAAAAAAGAGTTTAAAATTCAAAATCACAACATTGTTTTCATTTTAGTTATTTTCGGTTAATTTAAGTTTTGTTTTAAACAATCCAAGAAGTCTGAAGACCTGGAAAGTATTAAGAATGAGTCGAAAAGTGGTGTACAGATTTTAGCCATATTATGTTCCCCTTTGAATTCTGCAATAGTTTATATTCATTACTTTGCGTCTTCCAAGAAAATGAAGCTTTTCTATACTTCTTCTTATTCATATAAGATGCAGAGAAGAGGAAAACTGCAAATAATGTGAAGAGCTGTGCAAATCCTTTATTGTATTCTTCGATGAGAATTTCTCGAAGTCTTTTATTGTAATATTGCCTAAGAGGACAATTATGCGATTCTAATGATCAATTTCTTCTGCGATGCATCTTATAAACAAAGCCTTGTTCGAGTGCGTTTCCAATTTGACGCACTTATGTTGCAATTTCTTGCATAAAAGGGCATCCTTATGGTAGGAAAGCACGTGAGAAAGTCTCATAATTTCATGCTCCAGAGATTTGGGGCATATGTCGTGGGAATGTGCTGAAAGAGCTACGATGAGAGTTATTTTTCAGAATGATGCGTCGAGAAATTACCATGGCGAATGGACAATGGCGAATTGCAGTAAAATTGCGCAATACCGTTGGGAATTTCCACTCATTTTCCCATCTCTGGGAAATTGCATTAAATCTACCGGAAATTCTCATTAAGTTTTTGCACAGTAAAAACATCCTGTGTAAAAATGAAATGTTCAAATCCTAGAGAAGAAGTTTGTATATGCAAATTCTGTTGCTGTTCTGTAAAAGGAAAGGGAAAAATGTCAAAGTAAAGGAGTTGGAATGTATGAATATTCTCGAAGAATACAATCAATACATGATTTCCCAACTTGTACATCAATCGATTGCGACTGTAAAGATGAAAAGTTGCCTGTGGATGAAGCTTTTCATCTTTCTATACAATAATCCTCATTGCCTAAGGGATGCATGGATTTTGCATCCTTTTTCCCTACTTGAATTGTGGGAATTTTCTCTGTCGCATTCGATGCAATCCGAAAGGGAATGGAAAGCAATCAATTTGTCAATAATTCCTCAGCAAGAATCCTCTTGTGTTAATTCCTCCAGGATAAAATGCTCTCAATCGCAAATCCCTGGCTGAGATTTGTTCAGACTTTAGTGGGTAAATTGATGGATGTTCCAGACGCAATTTGAGGAGAAATGAAGATGATTTATCCCTTCTGAATTTCCCACACACACACATTTACTTAATATTCAATTCACGCTTTCAGAGATGGGAATGAAATCACAAGAATTACATCAATGAAGAGGAATTTTGATTTAAAATCACACTCGAGAGCGTTTTTAAATGCGGAATAAGGCAAATTCGAGAGTGAGAAGATGTCATGATATGATTTCATTTCAAGATATGCAAACCAATCACAGTGGTGAACTGAAGTGTTGTGCCGCGCAAATAAACCCTTTTTCGAATGGAAATAAAACTGTGCCCAATAGAAACACAATTCGCTGTCCTTCGTTTATTCTAAAGGATATTCCACAATCACTGAACTGCCTATATTTCGGGGTTTTACCTTCAAAATGGCAACTATTAAAACTGGGTGGGGAAAAGTTACCCATTTTATCATTTTTCAGAGAGGTTTTCATCAGAGGTTTTTTATACGGGCTTAAGAGGTCGGGAAAAGCAATGGACTTTCCTGAAGGAATTCATTTGAAAAATACGGCGGATTATCGTCAAAAGTCCACCGCGGAATAAGGGACAGATCCTTTAACAGATCGGTGGGAATCCCGCGGTATTTCAGCGTGGCTGTTTCTACTGTCGTTGCCTTTTTCGCTCCTTCACCTCCCAATATTATAAGTCAGATAAAAGAAAGCGTAACGTGAGGAACATACGAAAATCCAATTCGCCAGTATTTTAATATGATGACAAACCCAGTAAAAAAAGGAGTCGTGACAAAAGCACGAGTCCTTGACATTGACGGTGCATACAAAAGGAAAGGGAAAAGGGTGTCAGGAAAGAAAGGAGTGAAAAAGTACACGTGAAAGGATATTTATAGCCATATTGTTGAGTGTTTTTGTGTGAAATAAAGCATCTTGGGTAAATGAGAAAGCACTCTTTCGCGCCTGAAGAATGGTCAAATTGGAGGTATATTTATGGTGTGCGGAAAGTTTACCTCGTCTTTTATGACTCCCTATTTTACGATCGTTACATTGAAACGCACAGAGTCAAAAGGGGGAATTTATATTTGCGTCAATAGCTCATTTTATTTCCCGTGTTTTGCCTCACCTTCGCCACCTTTCTTCAATATTGCCATCATTGGCTTCATGACAAATGTGGCAGTGGAAATTTATGCATTTAATAAACCTGCGGCCAATTGACACTCCTCGAAATGGCGAATATTCTCGTCTTCACCCCCACAAGATTGTCCTACTTTCCAGTCTCTTGGCGAGTCTTTTTCCACCTCAATTCAGCTTTTTTTCCCGCCCCCCTAAAGGATCATGATAAACCTTCTAGGAATCGGTAAATACTCACTCAATGGCTGAAAAGCCTTTCATATTTTCCCTGATGCAATTTTTCATCGTTGCGAATAATGAATGGAAAGTATTTATGCGAAAGCTGAACTAATAACAAGTTTGAAAAACAGAATGACGTCAATCAGTAGGGGAGAGAGGGGCAATTTAGCACGAACTTTGGCATCGACTTTGCGCTGTAGTTTTATTCCTCGGCCTTTCATTGCCCGTCTCTCCCCTATACATTTCCTGTCGCAGGAATCCTGTGTAATCAAAAGGATATGTATATTTTAGTATGCTCTTTTGATGTGTGCGAGAAACATCGCAAAAGCCATCAAAGGAATATACATATGTAAATGAATTTCAAAATATGAATTCTGCAAGTATTATTTTCACTCTATGCAGAAATCCTGCAATTGCCATGGTTTTAGAGGAGGGAAAATTTATGGGAAATCCCTCTGAATATCATGCAAACGACACTGGCAAATATAATAACGTTGTCTTGCAGATATCCTGGCTGTTCTGTCACTGCGTTTGCTGAGCAGTGATTGGAAAAGTTTAGTCAATATCGTTATTTTCATCATTTGCTCATCATCTCAATCGATTTTCCACTGATGATTTCACTGTTTTTCTTCCACAAAAGCATCATGATTCTTCCCCGGAAAAGAGACAGCTTAAATGGCCAGGATTGTACGTGCGGAAGAAACATCAAATGCCATTAAGATTTCTTTTTTCTGGTCTCTCATCGTCTCCATTGAACGAGTTCACGGAGAAAATCATGTTGACAGAGAGAAGATGTATAAAGAAATTATCATCTCATGCGTGTTGAGATCTTCCCATCATTCTCTCTATCTTTGTTTCTGGCTCAAGTTCATCATTGGGCGAAACGAAGATGCGTTGAGTCATTGGCGTTTTTTCCTGGACATTTCACCAATTTTCACACAGAAACCCTCGCTTTTTTTACAGGCGCACTTCTTTATCTCTCGCCCTTCCACATCATCTCGCCAAAATTACCCCGAATTCAATTTCATTCTTCATCATCGTGCTTTGATCTCATGGGCGGCAAAAGGAAGGTTTTTTTTCTGGGTGGGTGAAAAAAAAAGGAGGAAAAGTGCGACGAAGGACAACGCGCACAATGTAATGAATTTTCATAATGGATTACGACCAAAAAACACACAGAGAGATAAAATGAGATATTCGTCATATCAAAAGATTTTCCAAAAATTAATTGGCGAGAAAATGAGGTGAATATTTACTTCCACCCCCCGGAAAAGTAACCCTCAAAACGCGCGTGACAAGCAATGTGGCGAAAATCTATTTACATGTTAATACTTGGGCAAATTGCTGGGATATCCTATGGAGGACTATGAAAAAAGCGTGTGTCTCGCATTAGCAATTTAAGAGGGACACTCTGGGATTCCTTGCTGTTTAACACCTTTCGCCACTCGAGTGCCAATGCCTCAGTGCGCCAGTCAAGGCGTCGAGCTAATGATATCATTTTCCTTTAATGATGATTGAAGCAGAATGCCTCCCACAGCGCGTCCCCGCCGAACGAGAACGGATGAGTCCTGTAATTAATAACCGAGAGGGTGGGAGACATCGCATCAAGGACTCGTAGTTTGTTAGTTTAATGTTTGCACACAATGTGCTCCGATGTAATTAAGAATTTCTTTGCTCCTTGGACAATTCCTTCTCGATTTACTCGCTGGAAGTCGTTCCTCTTCATCTTCTTGTCCGGAGCGAGAGGAAATTGGAGTGTCTTCTCGGCCAGCAGTATTTCTCAATTTTCCCCAAAACATTCAGCAGAATACAAACTATACAGATGGATCCAAATTCAATGATGGTTGAGACCTTTCTGTCTTCCAGACAGAGGTCTTGGACAACATTTCATTCCATTTTGGTGCTTGTTTTGTACATTACATTCTATCAAATTCGGTATTTTTACTCTAAATCATTATTTAAAGTATAGATGTTTATTTATTTTGTAAACCAAAAAAAACTAACTAACCAATAAAACTATGTAAAATCGATTTTTCATCGTTTTCTGTTCAGGCGGAGTAAGATTGTGGCTGAACCTAAAGATTAAGACACGTGACGTCGCAAAATATCGGTCTTATCGACTTTGGATACGAGAATTTGTGCGAAGAAGGGAAGAAAACGGGGAAAGAAAGGCAGACTTCTTACCCTTAGAGCCGATCAGGAGACATTTTTCCGCACTAAAAATTGCCCAAATCACCCAATGTCTTGACATGAAAGTGTCCATCGAGAGCGGACTCGACTTTTGAGGTCAGAAATTGCATAGGAATATTTTGCACAAGTGTTAAATAATGTTGGAAAGCGAGTAGTGCTCAAGTAATATTCGCACAATACAGTCAATTTAACAATTATTTATTCATTAATATGTTTCTTTATCACACATCATCAATACCTACTCATATAATTTACATAAACTCCTATGCTAAGCCTACATTCTCAATATCTAAGTCTACACTATAATATAACTCTATTTAGCACTAACATCTTGAATGCTTTTCTCCCTCGCGTCATCAAGCTCTCTGTATTTTTCTTAAGAAACGGAAGGAACTCAGATTTCTACATCGAAGAATATTGATAATGGGGCTTATATAATCAAGGAATTTGTGGTGAAATTGACATCTTCGTAATTGATTTTCCCCTCAGCGCGAATGACTGTAAAAATTAGTGAAATGTGAGAAAAGCTTCTTCGACAGTTTGATTGGAGAAAATCAACGCTGAAGATTGCTATTTGGGGCTCCTTAGCAGCATCTCTTCTCGCCACAAATTCCCATCTCAACATGGTTTTTCCTTCACATAGAATTATATAGTCTCTCATCCTATACAAAATAGCATTATAATACAAGTGGCTCTCCTTGCAAAATGGTGCTTAATGAAGTCTTGCGCTGCTTTAGTTGTGATCCAGACTTTATAGCTCACCTCAAGCTGTCGTTGGACAGTAAATTCGCTCTGTAAAAATTGCACCTCACTGAAAAGCATCTCACGTTGAATCTGAAAGTAAAGGAGAAATTGATAGTGCACTCGTGGAATCGTAAAAATTCATGGTTGTTTGCATGTTTGCGCGACATTGTAAGGCGGAAAAATCTCTGTTTTTATACGCAAAAAAACCAGAGCGCGCTTAAAAAGAGGAGGGGTACTAAAAACAAACGCCAAAGTTCAACAGGAAGTGTAGGAAGTTTATGATAAAGCAATAGAATTTTCTTCTTTCCTATGTGATTTGTTGAAATTCCCCAAACAAATATTGTTTGCCATCCTAATTGAATCACTTAACTTTTGTTGGCCAAGAGAGAATTGCTTCTCTAATTCGTAGAAATTGAATCATTTCGGACGTTGTCTGGTTGGTTAGCAAATGCCCACAATTCTCAGTATCATATTTACTCACTTTATTACGATGTGAAAAGCTCCAAAAGGGAGTGAAGAATGATTTTCATATTTCCCCAAACACACTGGCGACTCAAAATTCCATTTAATTTCATCATCATGAGCAAATGGTCAGCGAGATAAAAGCTTTATTTGCTGTGAAGCTCATCAAAGTGGATTTTGGATGGGAAACACGTGATACACTTTATCCACTTTCGGCTAAATGCCCAATTTGATTAAATATATATATTGTTTTGTTGTTTCTGCACATACAATTTGCAACAGCAAATCTACGAAGCGCATTTCAAATACAATTAAATTCATTCATTAAAACTGGTGAATTTGGGTTGAAAATAGAATTAGTCAGAATTTCTCTAGATTGCTATTCTCTTAACTTCCTACACTAAACCTCTTTGGCAAACACTCTTTTAATTGCAACCAACAAAAACGTTGATTTACGGATATTTCTAAAAGCTTTCCACCACTTCTTCTAAATTGTACACCATTTCTCACCGTATTATCTCCCCCTTGCTGAATTTATAAAAACAACTGTCGCGAAAGATATGCAGATATTCTCAAGGATTTTCCCTCAATACAAGGGTTGAAAATGAATTAAATCTCTTCAGTTCTCAATGGTTATTATCTTCCTATTGTGGTGAAGGAGACTTTATCAGTTTTTTCTTGTTGAGTTGAAGAGCAAATCGATTGCATTGACAGTGATTCACGGTATCAGTCTCTATTTTAATGCCATGCACTTTTATCTCATCTTCAGGAGTGATATTATGCTTACGTGTTGGCCATTGAGTATCTATCGTTGGAAAATCAATATTAAATACGTGACTGGCTTCCAGTAAACGCTCTCCAATCCTGGCAGTTCATTGTTGATTTTGGCTTCGAGGACTGACATTTTGTGTTCGTAATTGTCTCTAACACTCAAGCATATATTGAGACATAATTTCCTGCACATGATAGGCCAGTTTGGTGCGTGCTGCAGAGTCAATTAGATGGTTAGCAGATGCATTTGTGAGGTGTTTACCAATTAATTGACTTGCAACACGCCTGTCGCCAACATTACCAGGATTCTGCAGAAGATTTCCTCACGAAGTATCTTGTAATTTTCTCTCCATTCCTTTTCGCTCGCAGGCAGAGAAAAATTAAATTGCTTTCTACAATATTCATGACACATGAATATGCCTTTCTGTCCCACAACACAATTACAAATGACATGGCAGATTTATTTTGGTTGCGTATGATTGAAAATTGCAATATTTAAAAGTCTATTTGCAAAATCACGGGTGGAAATTTTGCTCATAAATTGAATCACATTCGGTAGAGAAAAAAACCCCACAAATTAATGTTTGTTCATTAATTTATGGAGCCTTTTTGCTGATATTCACCAGAGCATGCGAAATGGCAGAGACACCATTTGATGAAGGAATCCTTTGGCCAAATGATAGTTTTTCATCTCGTTTCATAATATTTAATCATGAGAAATTTCCTTGTTTTTCCAAAAAGCCAGCAAAATTTCCCACAAAACTCTACAATGAGAGGCAAAATGGGCGAAATACACATAGAATTATTAATGGAAATCATTATTCTTTCAGTGGTTTGAACAATAAACTTATAACATTTCGTAGAAATTGCTTTAACAATTAATATAAAAACCAAGGGGAAAATCACTCGCATTTTTAGAGCCTTTCTCTTCTATTAGCGTCCCTAACCCCAACTTCCCTGCCCTCTGGCGGCGATATGTGGAGAAAATCGTCAAATACTTGATTTTTAGTTTTTTTCTTGCAAATTTAACTTGGAAAATAATAATTTTTGTCTATTTAATTGAGGCCATTAAGACGCGTCAAATATCGACTATTCATTTACCCCTTGTATTAAACCTTTAATGGACTTTTCCACCATGAACACAATGCGGCGGAGCTTTTGCAGTTCTGCTGGAATTTTTGAGTTTGCACAGAATTTCTCTGCACAGCGGGAAATTCAACAATGAATTCATGGTGAATATGAGATGTTTGCGTGTGTTTGATCGATTTTGGCTCAACATATTTTGAGCGTTTGCCTCTGCTAAGAGATTAAGTAAATACGTGGTGAATGAGCCAATAAATTTTACAGCCAAATAGTTTGATGAGTATCCCTTTTGGGTTGTGTAACCTTTTTCTGGCCAAACTTATTTTCCGTAGTCTAGAAACCCTCGAGGGTTCAACGTGAGCCATTTCGATTATATGACTTCATATCGGTGGAAATGGTGCGACATTGTTACACCCAAAGACCGCTTTCACTATCGTCAATCACTTGCCTTGGCACTTTTGCAAATTCGTGGGCAGCTTTGGGAGAGCTTTCGCTTGGCTGAAAGCACAGCCTTGGATTGGCGCCGGTGGGCGGCTCCGGACGCCCACTTTTCACCATCCTCGACTTAATTAGTCAACAGGCCAGCAATGACATCTCATATTTACGCTGTTATCCTATCCAGTGGACAAACAAGCGAAAGTCATCTTCGCACCAGCGCTTTTTCAGCCGCTCTTCGCCGTTGAGCAGCGCTTAATCACGATCCATTTCAGTCAATGTCCATCACAACACTTCCGAGAGCGCCAAACATGTCAATATCCCGCTATTGTGATTTACTGTTGTGCATTGAGACAATAAGGACGACGCGAAACTCCTGTTTTCATCAATTCTGTCCGAAATCACTGCTGCGACCGCCGAATTGTTGTTCTCATGTTTGATATAATGAGCAATATATATTCAAGAGTTACATTTACATCTCTTTCGTTAATCCCAGTTCGAATCATACGATTTAACGGATTCAACTCATCTGAAAGCAATATTTTCAAAACTGTAATTTCATTTTACTTTTAAACATTAAAACATTGTTGTATTCGCTATATTTACTTATTTTCAGGCTTGAAAGAAATAAAATTAGTCCAAAAAATATTTGAAGTCGGATTCATAACCTCACAATTTGATAAAAAGCGCATTTTCTGGTGGGAAAACTGGAATAACAAGATGAAAAATGTTTATGAGCAAATACTGAGTTATTATAATACATATCAGTTCTTTCGATTTGAAATCAAAGCATTTGAAGAGTTTTTCAACATTTTGGGTATTGAAAATCTTCAGAGAGATTTCTGAACAGAATTTAGACACACTATCTCCCCCTTGGCATTCTCAATAACTCTTCAAAATGAGATCAAAATGTAAGAATGAAGCAATAAAGCGTGAGTTATTATTGTTCACAAACTATTACCATAATAATTCTTGTTCTTTAGTCACTTTATTCCCTTTATTCGAATTATATTGAAGTTATTGAATAGCAAAATTGCAATAATTCTTCCAACATTTCCTGTGTCTCAAAAGGATTCTCATTCTAACATGAATTGAAGGAAGTTATAAAGGATTTATTAACTTTCATACACAATTGCACCGTGGAAAATCCTTTTCCTTCTGAGGAATTTTTTAATTACTTCCGCAATTTTGCTTCTCAATCGAGAGAAAACTAATGAATTCTTTAATTGCGTCGAAGTGAAGTCAGAAAAGTCAGATGGAAAGTCTCTAATTAAATGTACATTTGTCTTGAGAACAATTCATTCTTGACAATTTCCATTTTTCTCGCTATTCGAAAAGCAATTTCACAAGCTGGAAGACAAATTCGTGGCAACACCTGAAGCAGAAGGAGAATCATTTGCCAGCGGGAAATGTCCACACACTTGGACGTTTTATATTTCCTCACTTTCACCTTTTCACCTTCCCTGACTTAATCCAATGATCCATTTTTGTCCGTCCGTTTGCCGGGATAGAAATCATGCTGAATGCGAAAGGTTAGATTGCACAGATCATACTTAATACCACGGAAAATCCTGCCTTTATCACATGGATTTTCCTGCGATTTCCCCACACATAATGTCTCATTGGCATTTGGAGTGATTTATCACGAGAAATCGCACAAAGTCGATTGAGAAAAGCTGGACCAGCAAAGTTTGTACACATTGCAAAGTGATTCAATGGAGGAAAATTCATTGCTCAAGCATTTCACGACAATTACTCTTTGATGGAGCCATTGTTAAGGTGGAAATTACATTTCCCATTTCATTCCCATCTCAATGCACAAATGGTTCGTTGGAAACAGCATAAAAACACCCTTACCCTCAAAATAAAGCATTGCCAACGACAATTTTCACCTAATAAGGCTTAAGGGATAATTGTTAATCAAGTCGCAATTTGTCCTCATGCTGCCAAGTGGTTTTTCCCCCCACACATCTCGGCAGGATTATACCTTCGGCATCATCGGTGGCAAGGAAGAGAGGAAAAGGACAAAATTCAATAATGAAAACGGTACAAATTGCTTCACGCACTTGTCGTGCAATTTGTACCATCTTGACAATGAGGAGGGATCAAATGTGTACGAGAAACAATATTTTTGCCATCAGCACCACCCCAAAATAATCCCTCAGCGCGTCTCTTCGGCCATTTCCACATCTGATGGGTCGCAAGGGGGAGCCAGTTGCCCTTAAATCTACACAACAACGGAGATTTCTTAACGTCTCAAGAGTGTTAAGTTCCTCAAATGCTAATATTTTGTAAGAACAGATGTTGAATGCTTCAATTGGTTGAAATCGAAGCATTTG